GACAATTTGATGATATGTTATGTGTGCAACCAACTGCCTGGAGCTATAAAAGCAGCAATCAACAGTTAGCAGCTAATTCAAAGAAGAAGAACAGCAGTGGAAAATGTCTACACACTGGGGAGACAGTGAGGTCCAGGAGCGCCACACAGGGATGGTAAATTATTGTTACTGCCAAGTTATGCCATTGGTCTGTTGAGAAAGTGCTGCAGACACGTAGGTTATATATGTCACACTACAGCTTGGCGCGGTTGTATTAAACGTCACACCCAACACGCCTCTTTTGCTTTTGGAACAGGAGCATGCTATCAAAAATTACACACTGGAGCAGCATAATGCCACATTTGTTTGGTTCAGTGTAAAAAAAAAAAAAGCAAAGGCAGCATAATGAAGGGACTTCATAGTGGTGCTATTGTGTGATCGCTGTGTAAAAAGGGCTATTTGCCAAGTTCTTTTGTAAGTGAGGAAGCTAGTTTTGTAGAAAGACGTGTCCTTAAAATAGGGTGCCGAAAGTGTATTGCTCCGGTATCTGTTCTGAAACTGAAGTAATCTCAGACACTTTAGTCATCTAATTACAGTAGAGTGTGCTGTGAATGTTGGTTTTTGGTAATAAAAAAGACTTAAAAATAAGTCAGACCATTTCATCACAGTAATGCACTAACATTAATGCTGTAGATCTAATAGTCAAAGCACGTATCCTCACAGATTTGCAACAAATCTTCAATCAGTCCAGATCTTTACAAGTTGACACCAACTATTGACTCGTGGTAAATATTGTATTATCGCTAAACATTAGCTTTGACTAACTAAACTGAAAAACACCTTCCTCATACCTCCTACAGTAACTGTTGGACACTACATATTTAGTCTCAGTTCTGAGTTTCACAATGCCATTAATGTTAGTGATTCAGTTTCACTGTCAGTGTCAATGTCATCCATACACGTACCTTTCCTCAGCTCCCATGCGTCAATGTCTGGCTTGTTAAAGTAGGTGACCCAGCGGGCGTCAAACTCCTCGTCTGTCTCTTGCTTTCCATGTGAGTAACACCTTGAGGCCAAAACAGCTGCACAATGAAAACAGTTTTTAGTTTAGCAACTTATCATCAGTAAAATAAAGCACATTCAGTGACACCTAGTGAAGAGGAAGTACAGTCAAGGGTGTCTACACTGAGTGAAGTGAGTTGAGGACGAATGCTGTCTGTCTAGTAATGCAATGCAGCTGGATCACTGCCCACATCCTGATATGACCTATATTGCACCCACTAGCCTGAGCACACTATGACAAATAAACAGATCATTTCTATTTGTATAGCTTTTTATTGAGGTATTTGAGAAGATGTGCACTTAGTAAACGTTTATTTTAATAGTCTTATCTACATCCACCTGATTTAATCTCACTTATAGATGAACATAATGTAGCATGGTTTTTGACAAGATATCACACTGTCAGAATAACGTGTCTTCCCCGATTGTTATAGCTTGTACCAAATTAATACCATACCAAGTCAAGAACACTATAAACTAGTTAGCTAAATACAGTTAAAGTCAACTAACCTAGTTAGCACGTTAGCAACTAGCATCAGCAGCAAAGCTACAGGCCCCAGATTGAGCCTTCGCACTGGGTCATGGCAAGGACACAGACACCACCGGGCTGTACACCGGGACATTTTTAGAGCAGCACACACTCAGGTGACATGGTTAATGGCAGCAACACGCGTAAGTCTACACAATTTGACTGACCACTGACAGATTAAACGGCGCGGCGTGTATTTAAAACAGACCTATAATAGACACGCCGGCTAAGCTAATACCTGCAAACTAGCTAGCTAGCTCAATGCGGTCAGCCACACATGATTTCCGTTAGAACTTCGCCCTGACAGTTTCACGAGCGACCAAATTTCACAATAACACCCAGAGGTGATAGCTGAATGAAGAAATACCTTGGCACCCAGGTTGCCTGCGGGTTAAACTCCGGACACCGGAGACCGACAGTCGGACGGCGGCTCTGAACATGATGCGGACAGCCAGAGAGACGAACCGGTGAGCTTAGGCAGGAGGAAGCTACCGCTAAACTTGCTCAGTCCGTCACGTATGCTACCCCGCACTGCGCATGTGCAAACTGCAGTTTCTTGTATTTAGTCTGCATGGTTGACCTACTGGCTCTGCTCTGACCTAGAAATATTACGATAAAGAGTCGAGCTTTTTTTATGATTTTTTTGTCTTGATTTTAAGGAAAATTGCTCTCAGTGGAAACTGGCATAAAAAGTTTATATATACAGTACAGGCCAAAAGTTTGGACACACCTTCTCATTCAAGGCGTTTTCTTTATTTTCATGACTATTTACATTGTAGATTCTCACTGAAGGCATCAAAACTATGAATGAACACATGTGGAGTTATGTACTTAACAAAAAAAGGTGAAATAACTGAAAACATGTTTTATATTCTAGTTTCTTCAAAATAGCCACCCTTTGCTCTGATTACTGCTTTGCACACTCTTGGCATTCTCTCCATGAGCTTCAAGAGGTAGTCACCTGAAATGGTTTTCCAACAGTCTTGAAGGAGTTCCCAGAGGTGTTTAGCACTTGTTGGCCCCTTTGCCTTCACTCTGCGGTCCAGCTCACCCCAAACCATCTCGATTGGGTTCAGGTCCGGTGACTGTGGAGGCCAGGTCATCTGCCGCAGCACTCCATCACTCTCCTTCTTGGTCAAATAGCCCTTACACAGCCTGGAGGTGTGTTTGGGGTCATTGTCCTGTTGAAAAATAAATGATCGTCCAACTAAACGCAAACCGGATGGGATGGCATGTCGCTGCAGGATGCTGTGGTAGCCATGCTGGTTCAGTGTGCCTTCAATTTTGAATAAATCCCCAACAGTGTCACCAGCAAAACACCCCCACACCATCACACCTCCTCCTCCATGCTTCACAGTGGGAACCAGGCATGTGGAATCCATCCGTTCACCTTTTCTGCGTCTCACAAAGACACGGCGGTTGGAACCAAAGATCTCAAATTTGGACTCATCAGACCAAAGCACAGATTTCCACTGGTCTAATGTCCATTCCTTGTGTTTCTTGGCCCAAACAAATCTCTTCTGCTTGTTGCCTCTCCTTAGCAGTGGTTTCCTAGCAGCTATTTGACCATGAAGGCCTGATTGGCGCAGTCTCCTCTTAACAGTTGTTCTAGAGATGGGTCTGCTGCTAGAACTCTGTGTGGCATTCATCTGGTCTCTGATCTGAGCTGCTGTTAACTTGCGATTTCTGAGGCTGGTGACTCGGATGAACTTATCCTCAGAAGCAGAGGTGACTCTTGGTCTTCCTTTCCTGGGTCGGTCCTCATGTGTGCCAGTTTCGTTGTAGCGCTTGATGGTTTTTGCGACTCCACTTGGGGACACATTTAAAGTTTTTGCAATTTTCCGGACTGACTGACCTTCATTTCTTAAAGTAATGATGGCCACTCGTTTTTCTTTAGTTAGCTGATTGGTTCTTGCCATAATATGAATTTTAACAGTTGTCCAATAGGGCTGTCGGCTGTGTATTAACCTGACTTCTGCACAACACAACTGATGGTCCCAACCCCATTGATAAAGCAAGAAATTCCACTAATTAACCCTGATAAGGCACACCTGTGAAGTGGAAACCATTTCAGGTGACTACCTCTTGAAGCTCATGGAGAGAATGCCAAGAGTGTGCAAAGCAGTAATCAGAGCAAAGGGTGGCTATTTTGAAGAAACTAGAATATAAAACATGTTTTCAGTTATTTCACCTTTTTTTGTTAAGTACATAACTCCACATGTGTTCATTCATAGTTTTGATGCCTTCAGTGAGAATCTACAATGTAAATAGTCATGAAAATAAAGAAAACGCATTGAATGAGAAGGTGTGTCCAAACTTTTGGCCTGTACTGTACATTATTATTCTCACAGAAAAAATCAGTAATCATGGGATATATTTTAGTAGAATGCTATAAAAGATGTATAAGATGCCAGCATGCTGTGAGACCTCCTTAATAACATTATAAAATTACTTTGAATTGCCCTTTGTATTAAACTGCTGTACTTCCTTCACATGTAACTCCAAAGAAACCACACACACCAGTCCCTAAAGCAGAAACAGATTGTTTTTTATAAGGGTTGCATATAGGCTGTATTATGAGAATGAGAGGATGTGAATTAAATAGTCCCAAAGCTTGTGGTCTGGGATGCTTTTATATTTTGCTATAACACAGAAAAATAGAGTCTGCGTGATGACATGTTTTGGAGATTGTAATCCACAAACATTAACTAACTTACTTGGATCAAAATTGACCGACTGCTGACAGTATACAGGTGGCCATGTGCATTTAATAGGTTTGTCTCTCTGTAAAATTCCAACACAGCCCAAAACATCAAAGTTGAAATGCATAGTTTATTTATTCCAGTGATGCTACATCTGTACAAAGGGACATCATCATTATGAAAATAAATCCTTAACAAAAAAATTCATATGATTCATGACAATGTACATAATTTCAATCCAAAAGTAGAAAACAGAATAAAAGCACTTGATGCAAACCTTGACTTTTATATTCACAATGACTGTTTCCAACTTTGTGTGTTTTTGCAGTACTTTGTTGGCCTTTTGCATCAGAATAAGCTTTGATATACTGTATATATTTTATGTAACTAGTATAATGTGACCGCATTGCTGCTAATCATAATTCAAACACATACATTACTTATTATAACAAAGTTTTGAAAAAGACATTTAGATTTCATCATGCATATTTATTGCTACAGCGCAGGCAGATTATGAATTAAGAGAATGTCTTTTGTCCGTCGGAGGCAGAGGCAGCTGTTTACTTTAGTGGTGGAATACCTTACATAAACATTAAAATATAAAAGTTAAAATTCAGAGGTATTTCATACTTTAAGTAAACTTGATGCTGCTTAAAAGACATGCCAAAATAACCTTCAGATCAGCCTAAAATGTTCATTTTCTGATTTTTTTGACATATGTCAGACTTTCATGAAGACGTCCATGGAGAACACACACTCCAGTCATCCAGACAGACTCTCTTGGCTGTGTGCTGTGAGGAGGGACTGTGAGCTGGCCTGAGCAGAGCTCTGCGTCTCTCTGCGTCCTCTGTGGGAACACTCAGGGTTTCAGGGGGTTGGTATCCAGGCTCCTGTGGATCCAGAGGGTCTTTAGAGAGCAGGATACAGATGGCAGGGACTGTCCTCTGCACGGTTACACCTGGTTCTCCTTGTTGTGAACTCTCCCAGACCTCATTCACTGTCTTGTAGTAGAGCTTGGACACCTGGTGGAGCTCCCCCACTTTACGTTTCAGAATCTCCACACAGGTGATGGTCTTTGTGACTCCTCTACCTGAGCCAGTGAAGACCACTTGTCTCAGTGATGTCTCATTGCTGTCTTTCCCATCCCCTTGCATGCGAGCTGTTGCAAACCGTAGCAAATTGCGGATCTTGCTCCCTTCTTTCACTCGCATGTGCAGGATGTCTGGTGCTAGGCCAGGGATCGGATAGGGGCTGCTGTCGTCTGTGCGACTGACTCTCCTGAAGTTGCTCTGGGCAAGTTTTGGAGACAAAGATGAAGATGGGGCATCAGGGTTGAACGAAGCAGACTGCGGTTCCAATACAGGGCTGCTTCCAGCATTTGAACCCTTCGTCTGACCCCTGGGTTCACCCATTGTTTAGACAGCAGTGAAGTAAAGGTGCAGGATGCTGTTTCTGAGCCTGCAGCCTCAGATTATTTGCATAACTCCCTTGAGATTGGAAACAAATTTCTTGGTCATTTAGTATAAGAAAGTAAAAAGTGATCAGTCTTGTAGTCCAAACTTGTGACTTATCCCGATCCTCCTCCTGTCCTCTGCTCATACTGCATTTCCATTTTGTCTTCTGAGCACTGAGATGACAGCCAGCAGTGTGAAGAGAGTGTTTCTTCCTCTAATCCCATTGACGTGAAGGAAAAGATGTCCTTGCTCTATTCAGCACTGAGGACAGCTGATGCCAACAAACACATATGAGGCTCAGAGAGAGACATGTAGAGTGGGACATAGTGCTCTTAAAGGCACATGCAACATTTAATAGCGTCTGTCACATTCTAGTTTGTTGGTTTTGGAGGGAAGCTTTTGTTAAACCCTACAGGGCTCAGAGATTTTTATTTGTCCATGTGGATGCTTGAATTATATGGATGAATTAGCATGAGTTAATGAGATTTAACAAGGCGTGCAGTTGAAACGACCCTTTGTTTTAACTGAATTGGTTCAGATTTTGAACATTCTTAACGTGCCTTTTTGCAGATATTGCACCAAAGTACAGCCTCATTGGGGTAAAGATATTTAGACATAATATGACAGTTATGGCAACATATCATGGTTTTCAAGACAACTTTCTCTCTGCGCTATCATCAGAGAGCCATATGGTCCTTGAGAAATGTCTTCCTTTGGGCTATTACAGCAACTTCACAGTTCTCCTCCCTTCAGTCCATCGCCTGCTGGGCTGACCCAGAAAATGCTTGCTACCTCGTTTGTGCCTCTTTTAAGTCAATGACATTTACGAGGACAATCATACCTTGGAGCTGCTGCTGCTTTTTATTTATTTATTTATTTATTTTTGCTAGACTTGCATAAAACCAGCACTCGTAAGGAAGGATCCAGATGCAAACAGAGGTGTTTTCCTGGAGGCTTTCTTTAGATGAGCAGAGTCATGGGAGGAGGTCAGGAGGCAGCTGTGGGGCTCATATGGAACCAGTATACTGTTAAAATGGTGCATTTCTGCCTCACAGGATGGCATGCACCCCGTAATATGCACTGACTTGAACAATCAGCACAACAATGTGGTTCTCTGAGGTGTTAATGTAGCTCAGTGCAAATACAATTGGTTCTCAGGAGAATACTGGCCAACACTATCAGCTAAATGCACATTAACTGTCCATCAGTGAGTATATTTCCAACATGAGAATATAAGTAAAATATCTGGATAACAGCTGTGGTTCAAAGGAGTCACAACATGTGCCACCAAACTCTCAATTTCCTCTTTATGTTAGCTCTTTTTCGAGTGTGCTCACAATTAATTCAAACATCTGTAACAGTCTGAACTTAAAGACATTTAGAATTATAGCTGTCATAACAATTATAGGGTTGTACTGACTTTGTGTGAGCGATGAAAAAGCTCTCAGTAGCTGTTATTGGTTACACTTCCATCTTGTGGTAAAACACAGGTATTACACAGATAACACAGTGGACCTTTGAGTTGTGGGAAATCTGCGTAACAAGCAAAAGAAAAAACATTTGATCTGTTGAACAAAATTAGCAAATATTGAAAATCTTTATTTTTGAAAAAGTGAGGTTATAAAAAAAGTACAAAATATGTGTTTACAGTACGCACAGATTTAAATGACACCAGACTGTAGATTAAAATATAAGGCAAAAAAGTTTTTACAGGTGCATGACACAACAAACAAGTTTCATTCATCTAATATTACTGCAGTAGCTAATAGAAAGAAGAGATGTCCTCACTTAGTGTGGAAGCTTAACTCTTTTCATGTCTGTGATTCTGTCTTATGTAATCTTTATCAATCATTTATTGAAAGTTTTCTAACTCTCATTTATTTGCTGGTATAATGTGATGTCTGGGAAGGACAAGAACATCCTAAATCAGTGGTTCCCAACTGGTGGGTCGCAATCCAAAAGTGGGCTGCAGGACCATTCTGAATGACTTGCTAATGTGTCAAGTTTGTAAAAAACACACTTTGTTGTGAAGTACAGTGAATTTCCAGCAAATAGCTTTTATTTTGAGTTCCGTTTCCTGCTGTAGAGTGAGCATCTAACAGATGGCCACCTGACAGAGACAGCAAACTAGCTCAGTGATATGGCCAAACACAAGTATGATGCTGAATTTATTAAACTGTGTGGACCTTGAACTAATGAGAAATCTGGACCCTGTGGTTGGACCAGTTGGGAACCACTGGCCTAAATGGCATTGTGGAAGTATCCTCAAAGATACTTGGAGCCCAGCAAAGAGACTTGTGCTCCCCCTGGGAGAAACAGGTAGCTTAGAAAGCGAAAGGAATAATCAGCCAGTCTGACCAGTGAATTCACTGTCATGCCCTCAGGCTGGCGTTACAATGTGCCCCTTAGGAAAACAAACCGCTACTCTAAGTCCTTTATTCCTTCTGCTATCAGGCTACTAAATGCAGACAGGGGTAATTTCAAGTGAATTATGTGAATTGTTTTGGCTATATTTATATTATATTTACAGATAGACATTTGAAATGACAGTTACGCTTTTTAAGCTTGACTACTTATGTAAACTATAATATAATATAATATAATATAATATAAATATAGTTCATTTGCTCATTGTCACCTGGTATTGATCTATGTAGCTTACATTGACTTGTGTCTTGGAAATAAAACTGCCTCACCTATGACTCTTTGAGTTTTTGAATGTTGTACATATGGACTGGGTAAAGCTGCACATTAAAAGCTGATAGATGCACTATAAAGCAGTGGTTCCCAACTGATGGGTCATGGTCCAAAAGTGGGTTGTGGGCTTATTCTGAATGGACCGCAAGTGACTTAAAAATATGTCATGTTTGTAAAAAAACCCACATTCATTTCTAAGTACAGTGAAGTATTTTAAAGTACAGAGAGACAGCAAACTAGCTCAATGACATGGTCAAACACAAGTATGACATTTAATGTACTAAACTGTGTGGACCTTGAACTAATGACGCAGGAGAAATCTGGACCCCGTGGCTGGACCAGTTGGGAACCACTGCTATAACGCATTGATTTGGGTTCACTTGTCAAACCAATAAAAGCCAAATGTAATGTATTTAGCCACAAAGATACTAAGACCTATCCTCAGTCAGTGTTTGTTGTTTTCATATGAAATCTGCACTATAATAATAAACCCTTTGTTTTTTCTCAGCACGTCTTTGAAGCAATTACTTGTAAAATTTCCCTGCGGATCCAGGCTTCCTGAGTGTTGATGTGGATATCTCCAACCTGGCCGTTCTCATACCTGACAAAGACAAAAGGAGAATGTTGTTGAATTCTGCAGTACAGTCTGGAGATGTATCATCACACTGTGAAACAGTTCTGTCCCTGCTGCTTCATGTTATACTCACACAAAGAGGAAACGTGTGCACACATGGTCGGGTATCGGACACACCCAGATGTTCCCATGTTTTTGAAGGTCCTTTGAAGTTATAACTGTCAAGAGACATGCAGACAACTTTAAAAGAACACTGTCACAAAATCATTCCTCATATTATCAAATGAAGGCTCTTTGTAACATGTATGTATTATCGTGAATGTACCTTCACAGAGAGCGATGCAGTTTAGGTTCCTGTTTTGCAGAAATCTGGCTTGTCCCAGCTGTTCCTAGGACAGGGAGAGAATACAGGATAAAATACAAAAGATGTAAAGACTGCAACTAGACACATTTAGAACAAATATGAGTGATAATCTACCTGTTTGACTTTGTTTATTTGGTTGTATTTCTTTATGAGTTCTTCTTTGGTGGGCATTTGGTGTCGCCCTTGACCCATCTCTGCATAAAGAGAATGGATACGTTTAAAAAGAACCATGCTTGAATCAATAATATTTGTATAAATGGGTCATTTTGTGTGCAAAGTATTAAGGAAAAAAATACAGTGTGCTTTCATACCAGAATATCCAAATGATATGCTTGAGATAGGACTCAGATAGATGCCTTTCCCGTATGCAGCTCCATGAAGCTTAAATTAAAAAAAAGCAATGGGAACACTTCAGTTGATTTCAAATCCTAAATGTTTCATAGGTCCATCTGTACACTTAATCTAAGCAGATAAACTAAAATGTATGTTGAAATCTCCACAGTGGCATGACATTAGAGTTAAAGGCTTATATTAACTTAGCTCAAAGAATACATTCATACTCTACCTGTAGTTTTGTATAAGAGGCATTAATCAGGCCATTTCTCAGAATAGAGTGCCAGTTTTCAATGTGGGAACCACTGCAAGAGAAAATAAGGTCTGAGTGTGTGAAGCAGGGATAATATTGTGTATGAAGGCTTCATATGAATGGCACAGCTTTGTTTTTACTCACTGGAAAGCAAAGGTGCTGCCAAAAAGTTTCCTGGCGGTTTGAAAACGAGCTTCTTTTGATGGAGGGCTGCTGATCAACAGGAACTGATGGGGCGTGTGCATGAACTTAAGTTGCTATTGTGCACCAAGTGAAACAAAAATACAAATCAGAGAACAAACGGATTACATTTTGAATAAAGTATAAAACCCACTTATATAATATTTGGTTGCTACTTTGAGCTACAGTACTGCTGCTGTAAAACTAGCAACTAGTGTGTTAAAGGGACAGTTCACCCCCAAATCAAAAATACATATTTAAAATACATATCATATATCAACCATAGAGATGTCTGCCTTTTTTCAAATATAATGAAACTTAACGCCAAATAGTACATTTGAAAAACTCAACAGTGATGTCTCTTTACAGAAATCAAATCAATCAATCCACAGACCTTGTTGTGAGCAGTTTCATGTAGGAACTATTTTCTTTCTACCAAACTGCACCCACCAACCATATCACTGCACAGAAGGGAGTGTGCATCCACTGCTAGCTCACCTTGCACCTAATATTACAGCTCAGCTGAGGAGGATGCCATTAATGTTTACATCTTGCACTGTCAGGAGCATAAGCCTCTCATCCACTAGTAGACACACACTTCCTTTTGTGCTTCAGTATGGTTGGTAGCCATGAGAATCACCAGAGGCCCTACTTCAAGATATTATCGTGGTACTGAAGTCACAATACAATATTTTTGCTATTTTAAATGTTTTGCTATATGCCATTTATTGCCCAAAACACATATTGTGCTTCATTACCTTTTTTCAATTGCAAATTATGTCTCCAAAAGAAAACTTTGTCAACATCTGTTTTATCTGATAACTTACGTTTTCAGTCTGTCCATCTCACTTATCTAAAATTAAATGGCAACAAAATGTATCAAGTGGACTGAATAAGCAATTGATTTTATTATTCTAGTAGGTTATCTAAAGTTTAAGTTGTATTTGCAACATTTATAGTTTATATAATTAATAAAAATGAAAAAAAGATACTTGGCATCTGTGTATCTATATTATTTTGCCATGCAAAACATCCAAATACTATGCTGTGTCAATGTTTTCCCCACTTCTACTGGTTGGCCGGTATAGTTCGGTAGAAAGAAAATAGTTTCTACATGAAACTGCTGAGGTGAGTTTTTCAAATGTATTTTTTCCTAGGCACTGTGAGCGTTACAAGCCGAGTACCATCTAGTTCCATTACACTGGCAAGAAGTCAGGCATCTCTATGGCTGATATCTCCAACACTCTGCAAGTCACTGATAAATAGCACAACAGGTAACAAAAAAATATGTATTATGGATTTTGGGGTGAACTGTCCCTTTAAGACGTTATATTCTAACCATGAACTGCTCTATCATACCCTGTGAAGCGGAAGCTTGACAATATGTGATCTGTTGCTTGATAAAATCCTGTTGTCAAACATACAAATACACACCTGGATGTAAATCTAAGAAACTTGATTTGATGTTTTGATCACGTTTATGACACATAATGAAGATATGCTCAAATTGTGTCACTCACCATTGTAGTAACGGATAAGCGAGTGGGTCTATCTTGTCCATCTGCTTCTTTATTTCAGAGTATGGACCCTGGGTGTGACAAAATACATTTTCATTCATCTCATATTAATACAACTGTCAAGAACATTCAACAGCTTTCAGATTAGCCTCAGACGAGCAGATCCAGATATGAAAATGGTATCATGGGTGTCGGATTAAGTCAGTCACCTGTGCCATCCTCCTTATTAACAAGACATTGTCCAGTGCTCTCTGCAGCCTGTCGTAGCTCTTTCTCTGCCACAACAAAACAATACATGAGTCCTTCAGAATAAAAAAAGACATATTGAATATTTCATTACAAGTCAAGTCAGTAATAAGATTGATTAGTTCAGGTGATACCTTAGGACTAAAGGCCAGGGATCTGGGGTTGCATGGATCAACAACAGAAGGGTACGGTTCAAATATGATGCTCTTGCGTGAAGACTGAAGAGCAGCTCTGCACATGGCCACCAGCAGGTCAACTACCTGTAGAACAGACATTACTGTAATATATCAAGCTTATATTATGATCACCCAGATTCCCTATAAAAGTGTACGTGTGATACCAACCTCTGCACCAGTGGCAACTTCCTCTGTAGCACCAGACATAACTCCTAATGTATAAAAGGAAAACACACACAGCTCTCTGGTGCAAACTGCTGGCTACAAACGCACACAAAAGAAAACAGTGACAATATTAACATACAGTTGCATTTTTTAAAAGTTTTCATTCAGTATATTAGCCAGTAAATCAACAGCTTATTGCCAATAGGTGTACCTTTAACATAGGACCATTCTGAAACACATGTCGCTCATCACAGACAACACAGTATTCGTTCAGCGTGGAGAGTCTCTGCTCAGCATACCTCATTATCTGTGAACACATTGAAAAACATCATTATGGATTTTACTTGCATTCTATACTGTCCGCGTTATAGAAACTTATACAAACTGTCATTACTGATCAACTTCCACCTTTTGCAATGCAGAAATGAAATCTCTAAATAGTCACCGAATCTACCGGGCTTGTGATTAAGATTGTTTATAGACATTATCTTAATTATTTTAGTCACTTATCTTTATTGTATTCATGCTGTAAAATTTCAATTATTAATTTAATTTAATTTAAATTTATTTTATTTTATTAATATTAATATTATATTTTATCTCTTTTACCAGTTTTATTTGCCTTTTTTGTTTAATTTTATTACATTTCAATATTTTATTGTTTTGCACACATTGGTCTCAAATAGTTAAATGTTTTTTGTCTTTTTTGTCGTTTTTGTGGTCTACATTGTTCTGTCCAACTATTAGTTATCCGTGAAGCACTTTGAACAAGTATTTTTAATACTGGAATTGATTGCTAAATATGATGTGCTGTTAAAAAGGTTGGTGTTATAAGCCATAGCTTCAGCCTACACCTTTTTCGGAGTTATGTTAAATAACTTTATTGTAATGTTTTGCACTGTATCTGCCATTTTCTGTGAGAGGCTGTGACTTCATCTACATGGAGTTATAGATTAATACATGATGTTCCTATATCTAAGTGCAGACAGAAATAAAATCTAAACTGTTGTTTAGATTTTATTTCTGTCTGCAATTAGATAGAAATAAAATCTAAACTGTTGTTTTCTTGGTTAGCAGCACACAACAGCCGAATGACTTTTGTAAAAATTGACAATAAGAGAGAGCGAGAAAGCACAGCTGGTACTGGTTTATTGATATTGCAGAAAATAAGTATCAAAACTGTTTCAAATATTCAGAAGTTGTATGTATTGTAAATTGATATTTTTGGCAATATTACTTTGTACTACACATAACCTGTGTAAAAGGTGCTATACAAATAAAGTTTGACTGATTGATTAAATACAACATGGTGCTAGCATTGTACTATAGTGCCACGCTGAAGAGCTGCTGCAGTGGATGTAGAAAGAGCATATGAATATGTAGACAGAGCTTGATGTCACCACTAGTTGTCAGCACAACCTGAATTATAAGACATGGTGCAGTGACTCTTTAATTTCCTTCTCTGACAAATTATAGTAGTACATTTTTTCTTCTGTTTTACCTGAACCAAGAAGCCGTGCTGCAGACTTGGGGTGGTCTTACAGTGCCTGATGGCCTGGGTGGAGAAAAGCAGCTCTAGCAGCTGTTTGGTACTGAGCTGTGCTGATGACTTGACTGCTGACACCACCACCCGCTGTGGAGGAAGGGACATTAACACTTTAATTAAACACCTACAGAGTTTAGAGAAAAAAGAGAGACAAAAATTTAGAAAGATTGTTGCAGCAACCACAGAATACTCAAGTGAATGTCTCAGAGGTCTATCTTTAACTTCTTTCACCTTCCCACTGGGTGTGTAGGTGAAGAGCTCTCCTTTGGGATTCTTGATGGTGTAGGAAGTCGTATGATTCGTGAAACGATTCAGTTTCACTGCTGGTGAAATTATTTTTGCTCTCATGTTGGGTTCCTGGACCTCACTGGACCTGCTCATAGCAAGGAAGGGAGCAGTGAATATATGTACAAACTATAGAACAGACTGAATAAGCAAAAAAAATGTTGGATTCAGACTGTCACATACTTTGATGGTGGAAGCCAGATACTAAGTCTTGCACGAAATCTCTTGATGGTTCCACTTGGCCTGAACCAGCTGTGTCTTCTCTTCTGTCGGACTACAATGTTCTCATTGGTCAGGTGTTTCCACTCCCGAGATAAGAAGACTGTAAGAATACTGGGAAACAGAAATGAAAAGCCAGTTTGAGCAATCAGTCGGCTATCCCACGTCATCAAATACTGACGCTTTGTCACGCCCCTCGGCATCTGACACACATGGCCCCTTTTGCGTCTTTAGTACACTGCAAATTATTTCCAGGAAGTTACAATATGTAACCGTAATATTTCACCTTTAATTGCATTATTATCACCTCACATGCTTTTACTGTGATATTTCACCAAATTTTCAGAATTTTATTGTGAAATTCATGTAGGTATAGTAATTTTACAGAAACATACTGTTAAATCACATCAATATCTGGAGTTTAACTGTGAGGTTACAGTGAAATACAATAATTCTGTAGGAGCATATTGTTAAATAACAGTAATCAAATGTACATAAACAGCAAAGTTAATTTACAGGAATGTTCTGTTATATCACAGTAATGTAATGGGCTTTAACTGTGAGGTTACAGTTAACTATAGTAATTTTACAGCAGCATACTGCTAAATCACAGTAATGTGCAGGCATAACCACTGTGAGATCACAGTATACAGCTGTCATTTTACAACAATTTACTGTAAAACTGACAGTAATTTACTGTGAAAGTACAGTCAAATATTTTACAGTGTATGAAACACACTGGGCTGTCAACTAAAGGCTCATTTATACTCTCTTTCCTTTGATTTACAACAACACAGCAACAGCGGAGAAGTTAAATGTACCTTTCAATGGAGGGGATGCTGTAGATGGCAGTGGTCTGTGAGGCCATTAAATACATCACAGCACATAGACGAAGAATTATTTTCACTATAATGCTGATTTGTTCCATTCTGCCATTTTGAAATTGCCTTTGTCTATACTGCCCCCATGGTTTCCAGGGGTATTGCTTTGTTTTGTCCGTATCTGTAAGCTTTCAGAAAAGGTGGCCATATACATATCTAACATTGAGCATAAATAAGCCATGACTCCAATATTAACACAGTCCACAGTGATATACGATGCAGAGAGCAACTGGCATACTATAAAGAGCAAGAAAGTCTGCATAGGAAGGTGGTCAGGGTGGAGGAGTAGGTCAAATAAACATGGACTTTAACCCAGGAGATTGCTGTTCCTGTCCCATGTTAAACCAAAAGTCAAAGTCATTTTAACCTAAACCATGATGTTTTCCTAAACCTAACCATAGTTTGGTGCCAAAACTTACATTTCCTGTGAAAATAAAAGTTTATTTCGAAAAGAAACTGTATGCATGTAACGGACAGGAAGTGACACATTATAAGCAGTGACCGACACATACAAAACTGACGCTATAGAGCATTATAGTTTGAAGCAATAGGCCATTGATGAAGCTGTTGTATCTAATGAGTTGGGAATGAGAACGTGTTGCAATACCATAAAAAGGGCTTCAAATCTTCATTGATATTTGAACTAAAAAGTTCGAGCCTGCCATAAAATTGTAAGTATGAACACTCACTTCTGAAGTTGTTTCCCAAAGCTGAAATGATCTGTATTGGATCGTTGAAAGACTTCAACTGAAGGTGCTGTGGTGAAAAACATCATTCAGTCAGGTGTCACATTGATTTAAATTTAAATCTAATTGTATAGTTAATCTGGTTGATGCTCACCAGGTCCATCAAGATACTGAGACAGAGAGAAGTGCAGACGGATAACGATGGGCTCTGATGGGTTAATCCTCCAGGCCTTGGCCACTTCCTCCTGTAGACACCACACAACGTAATTACATTAAACACACTAGCATGCCGTGACAGCAAACATCAATATATTTTACTTGGATTCAGTGTATTGTAAAGTTAACTTACATCCAATATGTTGGGATTTATGTTCAGGTCAACATCCACATCATCGATTGACCCATACTCCCTAAAAGAAGAAAAGGAAGTGGACATTTGACATTGTAGAAAAGCGGCAGAGATCCTTTTAAGAGCATGAATAAGAAAAGATGTTCTGACCTGATCCTGACTGCAGAGTCTGAATACAAAGTCCTGACTGCCTCTATGTCGGCATCCAGCTGAGGGTGGTGAGTCAGGTCAGCAGCACAGCTCTCCTGCCGAGACAAACACTTACACACTTACCTTATGGCCCAAACAGCTCAGCACCACCGGGGGGCTGAGGGATTAAACCAGCCACATATTTTTTACAACAATGGCTGAGAAGAAAGCTATTACTCCTTAAGATATAAAATCTTAATATTTTCATCGACCTCTATTTTCTATTAAGCATTTATAAGCAGCATGAATGAATGTTTTTTATAAGTGTTCATTAATGTATTTGTCAGCTGTGTTTGTATTGCAACTGTTGATTGATTGAATGATTAAATAACATATTTTGTATGATTATGACTACTTATTATATAAATTAACGACACATTCATTAATTTTAAACTCTCATTTGCAAATGAATGCCATTAGATGCTGCTAATAGCCACCAAATAAACTGACCTTGCATTAGGAATATAGATTAAGAAAGAACCTTGAAGCTCAACTTGTCTTCATGAGTTTTGAACACAAACTGATTTAAACCTGATTGTGAATGATCTGTACATGTTTTTAAATAGCTAATATGAGCTAATTATATATGTAAAAAGACACCTTAAATAGGGGTCTGTTTTGGCAAGAATCTAGCGATACAATTGGATACGTTGCAATGCCATACGATACGATACGATGCGATGTGCTGCAATACGATACGATACAATAGTACATGGCACGACACGAAACAATATGATGCGATATGATACAGCACGACACTACACGATATGATGTGATACGATACAATGTGGCACGACACGTCACGAAACAATATGATGCAATGCGATACGATAACACACGATACGATACGATACCATTCAATTCGATACAATATGTCATGACATGACTTGACACGAAACAATACGGTACAATACGATATGATACAATGCGATACAGCACAACACAAAACAATACGATACGATACAATACGATATGGTACAATACAGGGGTTACATTCTAATACAGCATATTGCGACACATTGCGATACTGAGAGCAAGGCGATATTGCAATGTTTTAAACTCTTATTTTAGCAAAACTGTCGTAGTAGAAACACACCACATATGCATTTTTATGCAATCAAAACAGTAGAATCTGCATCTGTATTTTATCACAGTCCCCATAACGCACAAGCGATATGTTGTCATGTCAGAGTGGACGAGCCAAATGTCTGAAGATAGATTACAATGCGGCTATCTAGCAGTCAAGGGTTTAAACACAACACAAAATGAACCACTCCCACTAATCTTTGCATGTAAACTATTTCAATAGTGTTTTTGAGAACTGATACATTATCACAAAACATAATATTGCAATACTCAAACTAATACTAATGATAATTTGTGATTTTTAATCGAAACTTTAACCATTTCTGCAGGTTGTTTCCTTCACTCAAGTGTGTGATGATATTTGGTATTGTGCTGAAATAACATTCAAACCACCACAAAGTAACACTCACATGGATTCCACACAGGATCTCCTCTGTGTCACTGTCCTCATCAGTTTGGCTGTCTGTCCACTGCTGGCACTCAGTCTCCTGTCGGGTTAATGGGAGAAGCTGTCAATCAAAGGATCCTCTTATTTACAACGCTAATTAGTTCCTTCTGTCCACCCAAACAAAGTTAACCAGCCATGCTGTGGAGACAGCCACTGATTTCAGAACACATGCAGGCACAGGTCAAACCATTGATACATTATCAAAACTGTGGCAGATTAATTCTGACCGACAAATGCATCAATTAATCTGCTAATGATTTTAGCTCTTAAAAAAGGTTCATTATCTGTAAATGCAAACATTGTACTACCCAGAATATACCCAGACTGTGTGATATCAAGAATAAGAAATGGGAATTTGAGGCTCATAGACTCACCATGTGTTTAGTTGTTTGGCACTTCTCAGGAAACAATCAACTGTTCCCTCCACTGTGACCGACACAATTAAACACTCTGCTGGAAAACACATACATGACTTTATTAGCTCAGCTACCACAACGGTATACATACATAAACAGTTGTCTATATTTTAAACTACATTTTCATTACCAAGAGTATTCTTATTTGCCTCCCTTTATCTTAGCATCTTCAGGGACATTTATATAGGCTAAATTCAACGTTCGGATGTAATGTGTTCATGATGTCAGTGGCTCAAAGCCAAAAAGTGCTTACCTTGCCTTCCTGACAACAACTTGGAGTTTCCACATACTTCAACTGAGCAAATAAAGTACTGATAAATAAACAAACCAACAACAAAAATCCAAGGTCCTCCTGTTTGATAACTGGGCTGGCTGTGTGCATTTGGCCGTTCTCTCCCCCTCTGGGTTTGAACAGCAGGAAGTCACACATGTTCAGTATCTGACTTCAGCGTCACCTGATTGGCTGCAGACACTGACGGCCTGATCAGCTGAGAGAGGAGAGGCTGAGGACAACACCTGCAGCTTCAAGTCTAGTCAAATCTACGCTTTTATGCACTATTACAGTATATTTGTCCTATTTGTGTAATTAGAGTGTCATCCTCTCCACAGTGTATATTCCTTAGAGGAAAGAAAACAAACATGTCATACCATCCTCCAGACTCTTGGAAAGAGTCATGAATCAGTATAAAGACGGTGATGAGAACAAAGATCCCTGGTGGCACATTTGAAGGATGGTGATATAGGTGATGTTTGGCATTTATTAGTCTTCCTGTCTGTCTCCTGCGCTGCAGTCTGACCTTAATCGGCTGTTACCCTTGTTAGCAGTCGCCTGCTGCTCTGCAGTCTGGCCAGATTAGACTCTTCGAGGACTGCATACATCTGTGCAAGTCTTCTCTCAACAAGTGCTTTTCTCACAGTAATCCACTTAGACATGAGTGGGTGTTCGTTATGTGGCGGTGTTTATTTATAGCAGGTGGGCACAATAGCATGAACCCCTGTAATTTATATAATATACTGCCAAGGCTGTGCATTAACATTTAGAATATGAAGCAACTGACTACAAAGTTTCTGCTGAGATGAGTCAACATGTCTTAGACACAGCAGCGACAGCAGAACATTATGAGCTTCACAGAGGTAGTATTTGTGGCAGGGATATTGATTTCTATTGGGAAGTTTTTGTGTAGTAGCCACCCCCGTCACATCTGATACGCCCACTGCTATATCATATCTTTCAGGCCTGCTTATCGCATAGGATAAACAAACAACAGGTTCACAGTGACTGGTACAGGGATCAGATTTCCACAGCAACCAGCCCTCCACAGTATCCATTGCATCAGCTGTCGACACCAAACAGTCAATATCAAGACTAATCAGGACGTAAAGTGAAATATATACAACCTGGTAAATACAGATCTATAATTAGGATTATTTTCTCTTTCTTCTCTATTTGACAGTAACAGTAGAGATTCAGATTTCAACTGAAGACAATATAAATTTTCCTGGTGGTAACACACCAGAAAGCTAGACCTCTTTACACTTACATACAGACAAACACAATTCAAATACACATGCACAACATCCAATTTAGTTTCAGAATAATGTCTGAAAATCATTCAATAGAAATTATTATACTATATATGTAATTTAGTTATGATGTTTATATAATCTTTCATTGTTTGCATTTTAAAAACTGTACTTTTTTCCTGTTAGTACCACCTTGTATAATGTGCTTTGGCAATACTATGTACGTTTCAATATGGTCATGCCAATAAAGCCTCTTTGAATTGAACTGAATTAATTAAATTAGTTTTGTAATGTGTAATTTGTTTTAAAAAAAAAAAAAAAGCATTGAAGGTCCAGTGTGTGGGATTTAGGGGTACCTATTGTTAGAAATGTATATAATATTCATAACTATGTTTTCATTAATTTATAATCACTCGAAAATAAGAATCCTCATGTGTTTGATACCATAGAATGAGGCATGTATATCGACATACCATAGATTTATAATAATAACTAAATAGTGGATGCCAAGATGGTGCCTATCCATTCCAATAGAGTTACTCGCCCAGGTAAGTATAGCTTCAGCTGGAGCAGCTAGCCCCCTTTGCTTGTTGGTCCAGAGGCGGAAGCCCCAAAGAAAAATTCTAAGTTAGTATTTAGCTAGCTATGAAGTGTCAGGTGAAAAGAGGAGACAGCTGCAGACACATTCTGTTTGTAGCATACACGACACGCCCCTAAAAACCACACTCACACTCATTGCTAACTTAGCATTAGCATAAGTATCGAGACGTTTACTCTTATCCTGACCTTAACCGCCTCTCTTTTAACATAAAACTTCATAGCTAACATAATTGCTAACTTAACATTAGCATAATGAGACATAGCCTTCCATTATCCTAACCCTCTTTCTTTACACAAAATACTTCAAAGCTAGCTAACTGCTAACTTAGCAGTTTTGTCTAGACTTCTGCTTCTGGGCCAAGGAGTGAAGGGGGCTGATTGCAGACTGACGTGTAGGTATGCTGGCCGAGTCATGTAGCTAGAGGGCAGGTCGCATAGCTACTCCAGCTGCAGTTATACCTACTCAGAGAAGAGAGATGGAAGGTTAGGATTAGGACCCTGGTAAATTGATAAAGCGGATTGACCGTTTAACTTCCTCACTACGAATAAAGCAATGAAACCTGGCAATTTGGGTGCCAGGTTGACTGTCGACACTAGTGTCCTTGGCTTCTCAGTCAGATCTGCCCCTCACTCCTCAACAACGCCAGCCTCTCGTCCAAAAAACCAAGATGGCGACCGTCGAAATGCCGAACTCGAAGCACATTTAAGAGTCCACATACCAATGGGTAACACAGTAGCTCTGTCCATTATTCTATACAGTCTATGGTTCTAATGTGTAAACAAAATGGACGTTACAAAGATGATGTGTTGCATTTTATTGTTCAGAGCATTTCAACAACACATTGATAACGAAGAGTAAAAGAAACGGATCAGGTGAGCCATGAAGTATGAGCTCAATTTTCAGATTATTCCGACACCACATGCATGCAGCACAAGATTGCAGAGGTAACTGGGATATCTACAGCTTGCCCCTCAAAGAACGACAGATTGATGGTCAGGACATTTAAACGGGTACAGGATAAACCCACCTCTTTTTGTGGCTGTTAACAGTTTACCCACCTATTAACAAAAAATCCACTGGAACACATAGGAGAGTACACACTTCCTCCTCGGCAACCTACCCATCTACCTAGTAGTACACCCATCTCATCACCCACGACTACAGCACTGTTGACACCATATTTTGCGAAATGAATCAAAACTTGAAAAGTTCGATTCATTTAAATGTATCAACTTGAAGGAACTGCTACTGTGAAAAGATTTGGTCTGCCCATCTCTACACATTTTAGTTGCTGTGCAGGTTGACAGACGACCCAAAAGACTTTCAGTGGAGTAAAACGACACTTCAACCAGTCGTCCACAAGAGAGAGCTGTTGCTGAGAGAGAGAGACAGAGGCAGCAAGAGACCCACAGATGGACAGTATGTCCTAATTCAAACTATGTGCTAGGTGGATACAGAATGTACTAAAATCAGTCTGTAAATTTGGTAAGTCACAGTTGTCTCTGACTTACCACATTTACAGTCTGAAAATTCACAAATATATACCTAATAATAATAAATAATATTGATACATTGGATTTATATAGCACTTTTCTGGATACTCAAAGACGCTTTGCAGAGAGGAAGAACAAAAAAAGTTGATGATCCTCATTTTTATTTTTCTTGAGTGTTGACAAAGCTGTTTTATCTAAAATCTTAATTTTTCTTTTTTGCACATCTGAGTAATGCCCCCTTCCTTTAGCATTTATGCATTTAGTATGCATGCTGTTTTGAGTGTGCAGAGTGTGTAGCTACTGCACAGAGAATATCAGAAAATGATTTTGTTAAGATTATGTTAAATACATGATATAGACCTGCGTGAGTATATCACAAGCTACTGCATTATTGTGCATGCTAAGAACATGTGTACATTTTAATGCCAAATCACCACAATTACTTTGCACTGATGCTACAAATGCATCAAAGCTGAACATGTGCAGTTGAAGCACAAGTAAAGTGAGAACTGTTGCATTTCTCTGCAGCCAGTAGCTCCTCTGGCCTCTGTCCATCTTTAGGTTGTATACACTTTCCGTACATGGACAGGAGGAGTGTGAAAGGCAGTTTGGAGTTAGATTTCCACCTCTTAAAGAATCATAGCATCACACGTTCCAAGACTGTTAGGGAGCCATAAATGACATGTAGGTCCGGAGGAAATACTGCACAGTTTTTGTTGAACGTCTCTGGAGGGCAGACGTTATTTTGTTTTGAAACTCTCCTCTCTCAGGACTTGAGAAAAGTAAAAAAAAAAAAATGAACATCTGAAAAAGAATTACACACATAGCTAACTGGGGAGAGAATAAAAAATATCTGGGTACGCCTTTCAGTATAAATATGATTGGATTACTGAGCAGGGCTTCGACAGCACATTTGATTGTATTAAATAACTATGAGGAGAGAGTACATGTATGCTGCTGGACATGGTACTGAGCAGATCTGATTTAATGTTGTGGTACAGTATGTTCCTTGAGCTACATGAGACGAGCATGGCTTTACTATATATACACATTTACCATAACATACTGCACAGTGATTGAGTGACAACCAGACATATGGTGGGGTTGCATTTACACTATACTGCACTATTTTTGGTAAAACTGCGTCGTGTGTTGCTATACCTGACTGAGAGTAATGCATGCATTTGTGCAGCTATGTTAGCAGGTTGATATTAACGCTGCATCTTTGCAAGCATTTACTGTTGCTTTTGACACATCAGCTGCTACACCCTCCACTGCATGTCATTTTCAGGTTGGCCGCACCTTTCTCCTAATTTGGAACGTGATTGCTGTGTATCAAGCTGAATGCATGTGGGCTGTCATATCACGATGCAGGAATGCAGATACAATCCCAACCCTGCTAGGCTCATAAAACAATC